GATTATTTCAGTGAGTGAAAGGTGGTATGGAATCCAAAAAGCGAAAATGGAGACTAAGAAATTCAGTGAGGGAGGTGGAGAAGCCTGAAGTTAGAGGGAGAGGAGACAGAAAGGAGGAAAACGAAACAGAGTGAGGGAGCACGGGTTCTAAAGACGATCATTTTTTCAGGGATATCTGCTCAGTGTGGTTGAACAAGAGTAGCTAACTGTTTTATTACTATGAAGTCTGTATCTCTGCTTTTTGTGCATACTTAACTGACCTCACTGAGAAATGTTGTTGGATGAAAAGGAACAATATCTGACTTTTCCAAGGCTTCGTCTCATGTTTTCTTTCAAAGTTGAATGGTATATGATTTTACCTTTTTAATAATTGGTTTGCATTTTTGCCCTGTGCTAGCATACATCTAAAGAAGACTTCTGCTAATGCAGTATTACACTGAGGTTACATTGCAAATACACCAGGGCGGTATGTCACTCTTCCATGTTTAACGTGATCAAAATGTCAGCAGCAGCATCCTGGCAGACGGTGTATTTGTCACAGTCTGTATCCAGTCGTGGCCTTCTGTGCGTGGTCACGATCCTGTTATTAAATTGACAAACCTTTATGTTCTTCTAGCTCGTAGTTTCCTTATGTGATTGTTTCTGTGGTGCTTTCTGCTGTTCCTTCTGTCTACCACGTGGGCAGCCGGGGAGCTTTGTTCAGGATGTTGTTTCCTTCATTAATCTTTCGTTCAGTGAAAGTACCTGTAATATGTCTATCTGGATTATATTTCCCCCTTCTAATCACAAATAATTTTACTGTTAATGCCTGTTATTTGTTGAAAACGTAAAAGATTTTCATATTACAGATGCATAAATTTATCTGTTAACGTAATTTCCACCTTAAATAGTCACTGTCTTCAAGAGCACTTAATAACAATTCTGAAGCAAATTTTCCCTAATAAATTATGTAATTACAACATTCATCCTGCTCTGTGAAATTATGAATATATATTATTCTTGGAATGAAGCAGAAATGACTACAAGCTTTTCCTTTCAGTAACTCTTTTTTTAATTTAGTGCCGTATTTCTCTCTAGCCATGAAGTACATCATTCTAGCTATGAGCAGCAGTCAAAACTGCCTCTTGTCAGCTCACAAAAAAAGAGGTAGTACGTGTCTATTTAATATTTAGAAGACTTAATTACTCAAGTACTGCTTCGAGTTCTCTGGGTACCTAAACTTTCTGCCGCAGCTATCCTTGTAGTGCTTTTCTCTCAATTACTGTATTCAAAATTAATATTGCTTTTTATGAGAACAAGGTATATGAAAATTACTCTGTTCAAACTTACCTACATAATAACAAGAGCAGGTCAAAGGAAAGTTTAAAAATACATGTATGCGAATTGCTTGTTTAGAAAAGGTATACTTGGTCTGAAAGTCTTGCACCGCTGAACCATAGAGCAGCCGCTCTGCTGTGGGTGAAAGGAAACGTTAAGGATACACGGCTGGGAGGAACAGGGAAAAGAAGAATTGAGTAAAAGGGAAAATAGCTTTAAAATGACTGTTTTTATTTAGGACATTTTCTTTCTTTTCTCTACTTCACTGAAGCTGAGGAAACGGAAATAATTCTGTGTCTTGATCAAACAGCTCTTCGTCATGAGAAAGTAACACGCTGAAAACGTTACGAGGATGTAATTTCACAAAGAGTACCAAGAACTATTGCAGCTGGTGAGCGAGGTAGGCCTACTTCAGTATCTGCAGGGCAGTGATGTGTGCTTATGCCAGGTAGCTGGCTTCAGAAAGTCAGTTTTTCATTTGCATGCTATTTCCGTCTATAGTCCGCCCCTTTCCCTGCCCCCCCCCCCAAGGATCACTGGATTTCCGCCAGCGTAAATTGCCTACATAGTAGGCATAAATTAAGATAAGAGTCTGAATCTCAGATGGTCGCCGCTTTGAAGCGGAGCTGGTGTTTTTATATCGGTGTTTATATAGCAGCTGGGAGTGGCCTCTTGCGATGGTATTGCTGTGAAATAAATAGCTATATAAAGCCAGTCATCCCCTGTATGACTGTGTTTGCATTCTTGTCCGTCCTCCTGAAATCCTCATCCAGAAATTCAGTTTGCGCTAAGTCATCAGATTGTATTTAGGTAGGAACAATTGCGGAGCACTCTGCTGCTTTGGACTTGCGTGTCTCCCGCAGTACCTGTTTCCCTGTGCCTGCTTAGGTTAGGTGAAGACATATATAGGGAAGAGACAATATAATACAGCTTGTCTGGACTCTGAGCAAAGTTAAGAATAAACCCAAAATTGGCAAAGTATATTTTTTAAAGATTTGTAATGCACACATTCAATTTTACTAGAAGAGCAAAGGATTCCTCCTATTTCAGTTTCCTTTGAAACTCAGATGTAAAATGGAGAATTAGGACCATTTTTCTTAAATGAAAATACATGACTTCAGTATATTAGAAAATATATATCATGTATCGGCATCCTAACATTTTGCTGCTTTGCCTGTGAGCAATCAGAATGGCCATTCTCTGCTGCAGAAACCCTTGTCCTCGTTATTGGATTAGAGTAGTGGGCATAAGGCAGTTGAAACGTACAGCGTCGTCGTAGTTGAAGAGCTAGCAGCAGGTATGGTTTTAGCAGTTAACATTGCCTAGCACTAGCGAGACAATGAGGCCCCCCCCCCAACAGGCACTAATTTTCTCGTGGCATCGTCGGTAGATGTCTGTTGAGCAAAATAATGGTGAGCTGCTGGCAGGTAGGTAGAGGTTTTTAGAAGCACAAACATGTGCTAGCCAGAGGTGTCCTCATTTAAACATTAAACAGTTTTCCTTTTAAAATAAACTTTAACATCACAGCCTGTTGAGAATTATACCATGCAGAAGCTTGTGTAAAGCCATGTGTTAAACAGTAAAGGCCTAATCCTTTCAAAACCATCAGTGCCCTATTCTTAGGCATGGATTAGTGGAGTGACTTGCAATACGCGCTGTTTGATTGGAAGAAAATTGAACTATTGTACTGAAACATAGCAGCTTGGAGGCAACGTTTTGGCAAATGTGTGTTTGCTTCTCAAAACCTACTGTTGGCATGAAATTTGGGACACTCATCAATCAAATGACTGCATGTTTCCTCAAATGCCACATTTCATACTTCTCCATTTCTTCCATTTATAACATCTTTCTGTCAGTTGTTTCTTCTTCTGATTTATTTATTCTTTAAAGTTCCAACAAAGTTTTTTAAGACCTATAATTTGTGGGGAAAAATAACATTGTGCTACCTCCCCCACGTTAAAAGGGTTGTAACTGCACTGGCTTTAGTAGTAGCTTCTGGAAGTTCATTCCTTCCTTCTCTCTCTCCCCTGCCCCCCTTCTGCCCACTCCCTCTATCTTTCTTTCCGGGTAGCAATCTCTTGGGTAGAAATATATCTTACGAAGTGTATATTTAAAAAAAAAAAAAAAATCTTTCCAGGTAGTTTCCAAAGTATAATTAAAACTTTGTTAAATTAAATCCAGTCTCCAGGAATTTTCAGTATTAATCAGGAATACTCCTTTTTTTTTTTTTTTTTTTAATGCCAGTGTGCAAGTATGATTAAATACCACTGTGGTAAGTGGTATGTTCCTTTCCAGAATTAAAACAGCTATCTTAATTACAAATTACTTCAAGGATGACAGCTGGTGGCTTAAAATATTTTCCATTAAAAGAAAAGAGAAAGCAACTGAGGGAGAGAGTCAAAAGAGTAGAATTTAAGTTTTTAAATACAAAGTTTTGGTTCTGAAATATCCCGAAACCCACTTTCTTGGTGGCTAATCTTCAGGTCATTAAACTCGGTGTGAGCACTAACTCCAGCGTGTGAAGTCCCCGGGCTGTCGGGAGTTGTGCAGAGGTGTAAGCGCTGCGCGTGAAAGCGCTGCAGTTCTGCTAGGGCGGAGATGCCTGGTGCCTGTCATACATGACTGAAAGCTGGAGACAGAGTTTTCCGCTAGCTTGGTTTCTGGCAGCGCGAGCTGGAAGCTGCTCTCTGGGAGTGCCTTGCAGACACCGAGGTCTGGGTCCTCCTGGGAAATGAGGTGGCATCTGACTCTGTGGGACTCCAAGCACCACTGTCCTTTTCATGTGGCAGTTTGAGATCACTTGGCAGGAAATGGGGAGCCAAGGATTCAGATCCCTTCTCTGGCTGGGGGTTTCAAACACAAATCTTCCCCCTCTCCTGAGAGTGCCCTAGTTCCAGGCTGCAGGCTTCTGGCAGGGGCGCGCTGCGTCCTTCCCCTCGGATGTGTGCCAAAAAGATTTCCCTGTCCGCTGGGTCAGAACAAGAACAGCGGTGCAAAACATCACTGTAACAGTCACAGAGTCCTGGCCAGAAGAACGGTGGCTGGGTGAAAGCTTGGTTCCAGCGGCTGGGGCGCGTCTCTCTGTTGCAGTAGGTGCGTTTTGAGAACCTTGCCCATATTTGAGTAGTCCTTTATTTCCTATTGGATACCGGATGCAGCAGCTTTAAAATTAAGCCCTTACACAATATAAGAGCAGTTCCAGTTGACTTCTCTTTGCGTGTTACAGCTTTGAGCTGTTAGGCTCTTGATAGTTTCTGAGCAATCTGTTGGCTGATTTTGACTGCAAATCTTTCGGTTAACTACCAAGACCCTGGCACTAGATGGAGCTTTAATCTACTTGCACTTAGAAGTCTATTAAGTTTAACCACAAGTTAAAAACAAGGAAGACAAAATAAAGGCTTGATTCCTG